GAGGCAGTATCACTACGGAAGTAGGATTGCCCAACCTTCCTTCCGAGGAGTGGCTGGTGGGTTTGAACCTTCTGGTTAGCAGTCAAGTGCCTTAGCCACTATGTTACCAGAGGCAGTGTTAGTGTAGTGTATATCTTGAATCAATCTCTTTTGAAACATAAAAGGAGCTGATTAAGTAAGAATGGGTTTCTAAACCTAATCAAACTCACTGCCATTGAATCGGACCCCACCCCACTCATAGCGACCCCTCCTTAGGTTTCCAGGCGGTATCACTACTGAAGTAGATTGCTCAATCTGCCTTCCGAGGAGTGGCTGGTGGGTTTGAACTGCCAGACTCCTAGTTAGCAGTCAAATGCCCTACAGACTTTAAATTCTAAAGCATTTGTTTGGTGGAAAGCTGCAGTCTACTGTGAGAGTCCTAATTCCATTTTGAGTCTAGAGGAAAATTCAGATGTCATTTATATTCTTTCTGATCATTAAAACCAGGCAAGTCTGGGGCAAGCCTAGGGCAGGGCAGTTTGCCCTCAGGAAAAGTGTGATTAACAGTAGATTACAACTCCTAGGCAAGTTCAAAGGAGCTCTGGTAGCATAGTAGGAGCTCTGGTAGCATAGTGCCTAAGGCACTTGACCACTAACCAGATGGCTGGCAGTTCAAACCCACCAGCCACTCCTCGGAAGAAAGATTGGGCAATCTACTATAGTGATACTGCCTTGGCAACCCAAGCAGGGGTCTCTATGAGTCAGGGCTGATTCCACGGCACATAACAACAACAACAAAGGCGAGTCCAAAGAACTCTGATGGCGTGTTGGGTAAGCATTTGGTTGCTAACCAGAAGATCAATGGTGCAAACATCCCAGCTGCTCTGTAGGAGGAAGATGAGACCATCTATTTCTGTAAAGATGAATAGCCTTGGAAACCCAATGGGAGTCCCCAGACTCAGACAGACTGGGAAGAAGGAAGGGGCTATCCATTTCTCAAACAATTGGTCAGTGAAAACCTTATGAATAGCATTGAAACACTATCTGATATATTACTGGAAAACTTTATGACTAGCCCTGAAATATTGTCTGATATAGTGTCAGAAGATGGGCACCTCAGGTTGTAGGACACTCAAAATATGACTGGGGAAGAGCTGCCTCCTCAAAGTAGAGTCAATTTTAATTAAATTAAATTTTAATGACATAGATAGGGTAAAGCTTTGGGGACCTCCATTTGCTGACGGAGCATTACTCAAAATGGGAAGAAACAGCTGCAAACGTTCATTAATAATCAGAACATGGAATGTATGAAGTATGAGTGTAGGAATTGGAAGTTGTCAAAAAGAAATGGAATGCACAAAGATCAATATCCTAGGCATTAGTGAGCTGAAATGGACTGGTTTTTGGCCATTTTGAATCAGACAGTCATATGATCTACCATGCTGGAAATGACAAATTGCAGAGGAATGGCATTGCATTCATCATCACAATGAATGTTTCAAGATCTGTCCTGAAGTACAGTGCTGTCAGTGATAAGATAATATCCATACACCTACAAGTAAGACCAGTTAATATGACAATTATTCAAATTTACACACGAACCACTAAAGCCAAAGACCAGGAAAATGAGATTTTTACCAACTTCTGCAGTCTGAAATTGACCAAATATGCAAATTAGATGTATTGGTTATTGCTGGTAGTTGGAATGTGGAAGTTGGAAACAAAGAAAATTCACTGGTAGTTGGAAAACATGACCTTGGTGTTAGAAATGACACCAGAAAGCGCATGATATAATTTTGCAAGACCAATGACTTATTCATTGCAAATATCTTTTTTCAGCAACATAAATGGCAGCTACATATATGGACCTCATCTGATGGAATAGATGGGAATCAAATTGACTACCTCTGTGGAAAGAGGTGAGGGAGAAGCTCAGTATCTTTCAACCAAAACAATGCCAGGATCTGACTATGGAGAAAACATCAACTACTCATATACAAGTTCAAGTTGAAGTTGAAGAAAATGAAAACAAGTCTACAAGAGCCAAAATATGACCTTGGGTATATCCCATCTGAATTTAGAGACCATCTGGAGAATCTATTTGAGACATTGAACACTAATGACAAGAAAAACAGATGAGTTGTGGGATGACATCAATAATATCATACATGAAGAAAGCAAAAAGGTAATTAAAAAGATGGGAAGGGAAGAAAAGACCAAAATGGATGTCAGAAGAGACTCTGAAACTTGTTCTTGAAAGGACAGTAGCTAAAGCAAATGGAAGGAATGACGAGATAAAAGAGCTGAACAGAAGATTTCAAAAAGCAGCTCAAGAAGACAAAGTCAATTTTTAAAATGAAATGTGCAAAGACCTGGAGTTAGAAAACCAAAAAGGAAGAACACACTCAGTATTTCTCAAGCTGAAAGAACTGAAAAAAAAATTCAAGCCTCGAGTTGCAATACTGAAAATTCTATGGCCGATATATTGAATGATGCAAGAAGCATCAAAAGAAGATGAAAGGAATACACAGTCACTGTACAAAAAAGAATAGGGCAATGTTCAACTATTTCAGGAGATGGCATATGACCAACAACCAACAGTGCTGAAGAAAGATGTCCAAACTGCACTGAAGGAAATGGTGAAAAACAAGGCTCCAGGAATTGAAAGGACACCCATTAAGGTGTTTCAACAAATGCCTCACTGGACACACTTACTCATCCATGCCAAGAAATTTGGAAGACAGGTTCCTGGCCAACTGACTGGAAGAGAGCGATAGTTGTACCCATCTCAAAGAAAGGTGATCCCACAGAATGTGGAAATTATCAAACAATGTCATTAATATCTCATGCATGTAAAATTTTGCTGAAGATAATTCAAAAATGGTTATAGCAGTATATTGACAGGGAACTTCCAGAAATGCAAGCTGGATTCAGAAGAGGAGGTGGAACAAGGGAGATCATTGCTGATGTCAGATGGATCTTGGCTGAAAGCAATGAATACCACAAAGATGTTTACTTGTGTTTTATTGCCTGTGCAAAAGCATTCAACTATGTGCATCATAACAAATTATGGATATCATTGTGAAGATTGGGAATTCCAGAACACTTAACTCTGCTCATGAGGAACCTGTACATAGACCAGAAAGCTGTCGTTCAAACAGAACAAGGGGATACTGCATGGTTTAAAATCAAGAATGGAGTATGTCAGGATTGTATCATTTCACCATACTTATTCAATCTGTATGCTGAGCAAATAATGTGAGAAACTGTACTATATGAAGAAGAATGTGGCATCAGGATTGAAGGAAGATTCATTAACAACCTGTGATATGCAGATGACACTACTTTGCTTGCTGAAAGTGAGGATAACCTGAAGCACTTACTGATGAAGATTGAAGACTACAGTCTGCCGTACAGATTACACCTTAACATAAAGAAAATAAAAATCCTCACAACTGGACCCATAAGTAGCATCACGATAAATGGAGAAAAGATTGAATTGTCAGATTTCATAGTACTTGGATCCACAATCAACACCAGTGGAAGCAGCAGTCAGTAAATCAGAGGACGTATCTTACTGGGCAAATCTGCTACAAAAGACCTTGTTTAAGGGCTGAAGAGCAAAACTATCACTTTAAAGACTAAAGGTGTGCCTAACCCAAGCCATAGTTTCAATCACCTCGTATGCATGTGAAAGCTTGACAATAAATAAGGAAGATAGAAGAAAAGTTGATGCTTTTGAGTTGTGGTGGTGGTGAAAAATACTGAAAGTACCATGGACTGCCAGAAGAACTAACAAATCTGTCTTGGATTAAGTGCAGCCAGAATGCTCCTTAGAAACAAGAATCACCAGACTTCGCCTCATCAACTTTGGTCATGTTTTCAGAAGACCATTCCCTGGAGAAGGATATCATGTTTGGTAAAGTAGAGGGTCAGCAAAAAAGGGGAAGACCCTCCATAAGATGGATTGACAAAGTGGCTGCAACGATGTACTCAACTACAGCAAGGATTGTGAGGCTGGTGCAAGAATGGGCAATATTTTGTTCTGTTCTACATAGGGTCACTATGTGTAGGAGCCAACTCAACCACACGTAACAACAAAAATAACATTAGCTAGAATTGACTCAGTGGCAGTGGGTTTGGCTTTGTTTTTTTTAGAGGCAAGCCCAGAGAGGGGCAGTTTTGCCCTCAGGGTTACACAAAGAACTAGAGAACTTGCTTAGGTGTGTCTTTAATGACTTACTGAAAATAGCTGCATATTATGTAATTTAAAGGAGCTCTGGTGGCACCGTGGATAAAGCATTTGGCTGCTAACCAGAAGGTTGATGGTTCAAACCCACTAGCCCCTTCACAGAGGGAAGATGGGGCAATCTACTTCTGTAAAGATTTACAACCTTGGAAACTCAATGGAGGTTGCTATGAGTGGGAATCAACTCAATGGCAGTGAGGTTGGCTTTCATGTTTTGTTTTTTTTGTATCTGGTGTAGTGCCTAAGACATTTGACTGCTAACCAGAAGTCTGGTACTTCAAATCCACCAGGCACTCCTCGGAAGGAAGGTCGGGCAATCTACTTCTGTAGTGATATCACCTCGGAAACCCAAGGAGGGATCACTATGAGTTGGATCAAACTCAAGGGCAGTGAGTTTGGTTTGGTTTTTAGTTTTAACTTAAGAGTTGGGGTCTTGGTGAGTATGACTCTGGGCTGCATGGTCATGAGTCATACCCTAACCACCACATAGTCTTGTGATCAAGCCCCAAAACAAATCCTGTAACCCTTTTTAAACCACAATTGTAGAGTGAGTTCAATTCCAGGCCCGAAGTGTGACTCATGGCCATATTCTTGTGGGTTTTAGCAGTCTCTATGTGACCAGTAAACCTGGCCTTTTTTATGTTTTTTAGTTTCGTTCCACATTTTTTTTCTCCCACTCTATCTAGGACATCAAAACACAGTAACTCAAGGTGTAGAGACCCTCAGAGTGTAGTCATGTGGACAGAGGAGTATGGACTGGGCATGTACCATGGGATGTGGCTTCATGGGATTAAGAACCAGACAGAGTGACTGGCCTGACAATCCCCAGCTTTATTAGCTATTCCTGGGTTGGCAGTTCATACTCAGCTAAGAAATAGAAAATGGATAGGGCTAGATCTAATATTGCTAGAGAAGAGATTTGGCACAAGAGCAAGAAGAGATGTCAAAACAAGTATTTAGCTTTGTTCCTGGAATACAAGGATTCAAGAGGCAAAGAGAAACCGGAAATCAGAGATGGTGATCCTCTCTGTGCAACGCCTTTGTTTCTACCTCTTCACTGAATGCCCCAACTCCAGTTGCTCTGGAGTCTTGCTATTTCACTACCTTCTCCTTCTCTCTTCCCAGCAACCTTTTCTGTGTATCACCTTCTCAGTGGGCTTTAGAGATAGACATTTGAGGGAAGGTTGGGGGAATTGAGTTCTCAATGACTACATATTAGAAAACAATTAGAATATAAAAATTATAGAAGTGCCTAATTTCTGAGAAAAAGGAATCTCTGGGTATGATGAAAGTGACACCAGTTCCTTAGGTCATAAAACCAGGGAAGAAGTGAAGAAGAAGAAGTAAAACTATGAGTGAAAACACCATGCTGTTACCCACTGAGTGACTGCAGGAAGCCTATGACTTCACTGGCCAAGATGCATCATACAATCACACTTCAGGGAGGAAAGGACGACAGAGATCATCCCTACAACCTCCTTTTCTTCAGATATGGAAATCGTGGTGCCATGTGCTCAAGTGGCTTGTTCAGGGTCACAGGGTCACACATATTTGTTGTTTTGTAAGTGAGTAGACAAGACTGAGTGGAGGAGTAATGTAAATTACTAACAATAATCAATGACACAATGCATTTGTATGTGATATGAAATACCTTCAAAGACAGTAGGAGGTGAAGGATAGACATGTGTTGGTCAGTAAATCCATTCCTTCCCTTACTCTTTTCTAGTTCTTAGCTGAGAACTAAGCTAAGTTTATGATCACTTTTTAGTTCTTATCTGAGGAAATAGATCCCAATAGTTGGTTAGCTCTCACCTGAATCCATGGATAAGTAGTTTCGTTCCCAAAGTGACATTAAACCCAGAGTTTTGGAGGTCAGTGTTTTCTTCCACTAGCTGCCCACAGCTAGGATCTGAAAGTGTGAAGAGGAGAAATTGGACTCTGAGATTGGTGCCTCTGAGGAAACTGGCATTCTGGAAGTCAGTACACTTTGACTGATGGGTAGAAGGTATATCTCCTGTGGGGGGAAAAAAAATGAAAACTGTCCAAGGTGAGGTCACCTGTTCTTAGGCTGGAAGAAAGGAAGAAATGGGCTTACAGGCAAGAAGTTTATTATACATCAGCTAGTGTAATAATCTGACATTTATTAAAGACTGTATCATTTATGCAATCAAAATCTGTATTTTTTCATGCCTAAGAATAAAATACCGGAGAAGAATATGAATGTTGCTTAACTAAATCCACTGCCATTGAGTTGATTCTGATTCATAGTGACCCTATAGGACAGGGTAGAACTGCCCCATAGTGTTTCCAAGGCTGTAAACATTTATGGAAGTAGATTTCTTTATTTTCCCCTGTGGAATGACCAGTGGGTTCAAATCACTGATCTTTTGGTTACCAGCTTTAACTACTGTGCTACCCACCTACTACCATCAAGTTGACTGTGACTCATAGCAACCCCATCGGGTTCCCAAAGCTGTAATTCTTTACAGAAGTAGATTGCCTTATTTTCTACCCATAAAGCAGCTGGTGGTAAATTTGAACCACTAACCTTCTGGTTAGCAGCCCAATGCCTTATCCACTACCAGAGCTCCTCACCTAGAGGAGGTTAAAAGCCATGTGAGATGGATATCTAAGAATCCTGAGCAATGAAATGAGCAGTCACCCTGGGGAATAACTCACTCTGTTCTGGACAACCCATTCCAGATGGTTCCTCTGTAAGAGTCACTTTACCCTAACTTAATCAGTTGCTGTCCTTATGAACAGCCCAGAAGCATTCCATAGACTTCCAGTGCCCAGTCCATGGCTTCCTGGCCAGATGGTAGAGAACCTTAACCAATTACACCTTCTGTATAGCACTTTACAATCAATATCTTTGAAACTAAATATTTTCTGGTTAAGGTCATTGAAAGGTCCTTTAAAATACTGAATAGAAAAAAGGCAGCATGCAACTCCTGCTTCCCAGGGAGCTGAAATCCTGACTCATCTGCAACATCCAACATCCCACCTCATATCTACTCTTATGAATGATAAACCTGACTCCCAGAGCATCCTGCAGGGAAAACTCTGAAGGAGCAACAGGGCACACATTGTCCCCCAACACACAGCTCAATGTCAGGTGCTGTTAGTAGCTACCTAGCATATCGCTATAGAACTAAGCTCCTCACAGAACCATTCATCACAAACCCATACTTCAAGCTCAGACGACAGGTACAGGTTGCAGATTTGGTTTCTGCAGGCCCCATCACAGAGGTAGACAGAAATTTTAGGTTTCTGGAAGGGTTACCTGCCTTCAGAGGTATCTGAGAAGCACATACACAATGGTGTGGATCTGGAGTGCATTAGGATGTGGTGCTAGGAGGGGATTGTGGGAACTCCTTCCTTTGAGAATATGTTATGTGGTAAGATCTTCCAAAGCATCGCTGAGGTGGATCAGAATTCTCATCTTCTGTGCTTCTGAATCCCCGACCTTGTCCCCCAGCCTCTTGCATGTTCCTTCTGAGCAGCAGGTTTGGACACTTGTGGAGTCAGGTCCACTCTGAGAGTACAGCTTGCCTATGTTCTCCCACCTGCAGCATGAGCTCCTAGAGTACATGAGAGAGAGAGGGAGATGCCTGGCCAGAGGTGGGTCTATGGAAAATAGCATCCATGGTAATTAGTTTAAACTTGCTGAATGATCTCTCACAGCTGGTGATGGAAACTGTGATGGCCAATAGAAACTGCTCAGTGGTGCACTCCTTCAAGAGGTGCCCAGGGCCTGTGTCATACCTGCCATAGCTTAGATACACCTCTGTGCCTGATTCTTCTACTTCATGTGCCTTCTTCTATCTTTGGCTTTTTTCTCTTTTATTCTCTATTTTTCATTGAGGTAAAAATCACATAACATAAAATTAACTATTTTAAAGTGGATAATTCAGTGGCATTTAGAACATTCACAATGTTGTATGACTGCCACCTCTATGTAGTTCCAAAACATTTTTTTGCCACCCCAAAACAAAACACCTTTTCTATTAAACTGTCTATCCCCACTTCCTCCCTCTGCTAGCCCTTGATGACCACTAATCTGCTTTCTGTCTCTATTGGATTTACCTATTCTGAATATCTCATACAAGTGTAATAATATAGTATATGATCTTTTGTGTCTAGCTTTCACTTAACATAATGGTTTTGAGGTTCATCTATTCTGGAACATGTGGTTGTTAGGGTTATGTGTCAACTTGGCTGGGCTTGGTTTTGAGTGGCCAGGCAGCTGGATGTTGTCATTCCCCATGTTGAGACTGGGATGTGTTCTGCTTCCAGTATATAAGGAGAAGTTTTGAAAAAGGTCTCTGCAGCTTTTTGGCACGCTTGGACGCTGCATGTAGCTGAGTCTTCATTTAGCAGCTTACCATGTTTCCTGCTGATCCTGAACTTGAACTAGTAGTCTGCCATGTTGTTTAGTAATATTTAGTAATACTTGTCAAACTTGGGCTTGTTAGCCAAAAGAAGTATTCATTTTTAGTTAACAAGAAATAAACATAGTTTCAAAAAAATGGAATGTCTTCTTCTTGTTGTTGTTGTTATGTGCCATCGAGTCAGCCCTGACTCATAGCGACCCCTCCTTGGGTTTCCGAGGCAGTATCACTACGGAAGTAGGATTGCCCAACCTTCCTTCCGAGGAGTGGCTGATGGGTTTAAACCGCCAGCCATCTGGTGAGCAGTCAAGTGCCTTAGCCACTATGCTACCAGAGCTCCCATGGAATGTCTTAGACAAAGCAATTTTAAAGAAGCAGAGAGACTCATCACATTCAATCCCAGTACTGGATCCTAGTCTGGTAGACATTATTCTTTAAAAAAAATAAATTAAATAAAAAAATCAAAACTCTAGAACTTTGAGATGAGAGCATCATCAAAGAATTGCATTTCGAGGATAGAGGAGAAGATAAATATATCACAGTAGAGATGATGGAGTATTATGAAGCAATTAGAAGGAATATATGAGATATTTATTAAATAATTTTGTAATATGAGAAACTCTTAGTCATAAAAAAGGTAAGTTGTAATATTGTACATATATAAGATGATCCCAATTATGTGAACAAAACAAGACCCACAAAAAAGCTAGAGTTATGAAATGGAAATCATCCAGAACAGGATACATAGAGAACTAAATAAACAGGAAAATACAAAAGCAAGCTTAAGAAGCTTGGGTGACAGATTGAGACAGACTAACTTAAATTTTATTAGAATTCTAGATAGAGAATGGAGGGAAGGCAACATTAGAAAGGATAAGAACAGCTAATTCTAACTCTTATAGTACTTACTGTATGCCAGAAACAACTATACTTGCTTTTTATGTTTTATCTCATTTAATCTTACATAATATTCCTGAAAGACAAGTACTGTTCTTATTTCTCTTTTACAAGTGAGAGAACAGAGGTTCAGAGGTATTAAATAATCTGCCCAAAGTCACATAGCTAATAACGATTGAGAATAAGCTTAGATTTTAACATCCCAGACATCTGCTTCCAGGATTGGGACTCTCAATCACTCTGTCATACTGGCTGAGAACTTTCTAAAATTGATAAAAACATTAATTCTCAAATTGAAGACATAAAATGAGTCATGAGCAAGATAAAAGATAATAAATCTTATTATCTAGACATACCATGGTAAAACTGAAGAATACTAAGCATAATGAGAAAATTTATAAAGTAACCACAAAAGGACAACTGATAGCTGACAACATTTTAACTCTTAGAGAATATAAGTATTGGGAAATAAATAATTTTCAACCCAGAATTCCATTCCTAGCTAAATTGTTGTCTAAGAATGAGGAGGAATAAAGTCATATTCAAAGAGTGAAAATTAACCACCCATAGATCCTAACTGAATAAATACTAATGAAGAAGAAAGCTCATTTCCAGAAGGTAGAAGTGAAATGCAAGAAAAAATAATGAATAAAGAAATGAATATACACATTAATCAATATAAGTATTAATTATATAAAACAATAATTATCATGTGATTAATTTGGGGCAAGGGAAAAAAGGTGAAGCTTAAAAATCACTAACTAAAGAGTAGACATGCATTAATTCAGGTGAATGGAAAGGCAGTATGCAATAAGGGGAGGTCAGCACAACATGACCCACACAAAGGAAGACACTGGGAGGTACATAAGAGTAAAAAAAAACAACAAAGGTCAATACTATTACATACACAATCCTGCAGACCCAGTAAGCATAAACGATAATCTATGAGTAGATGCATAGTTAGATATGTGACTCAAACAAATGGGGGAAGGCTAATAGAAGTACACCCAGGAGTGCACACTGTCTTGGCAGTTGATGTTTCTATTTATTTATATCCATATATCCATATGAAAATATATCCAAGAATATAGTAGAGCATACAAGGGCAAAGTTTTGAAAACTTCTTAGATTTAATAAAACACCTTGAGAAGATGAGTCACTGGGCTTGGGTACTTAAGACCACAGTCTTAAGGGACATCTAAGTCAATTGGCATAGTTCACAAAGACAGTGGTCTGCACTTTGGTGAGTAGCAACCAGGGTCTTTTTGTGTGTGTGTGTGTGTGTGTGTGACTTGGATGAAGATTTACAGAGCAAATTCACTTTTCATACAGCAGTTCACATATACTTTGTCTCATGACATTGACTACAGTTTACCACAATGCAACAGCTCTCCTCCCCCTTCCTCCCCATAGTTACCTCTTCCCTGTGTCCATCCCTCCATGGACTCCTGCCCCCTGAGCTGTCTCCCTTGCATAAGCAGCCCTTCTTTCTCCCATGATTGTTGTCTCCAAGGAAAGCATCTAGTTGAGGTAAATGTTTAACTCATATGCCTGTCTTTTGTTTGGCTGGAAACCACAGGTGTGGGTTCAATTCCAGACCTGAAGGGCAGCTAGGGGCCATAGTCTCAGTGGCAACCAGGGTCTTAAAAGCTTGCAAGTGGCGATCTAAGATGCAGCAATTGGTCTCTACTTGTCTGGACCGAAGAAGAGTGAAGAAAATCAAAGACACAAAGGAAATAATTAGTCCAAAGGACTAATGGACCATGCAAACACAGCTTGCACTACCTTGAGACCAGAAGAATTAGATGTATCCCACTATCATTACTGACCACTCTAATCAGGATCACAATTGAAGGTCCTAGACAGAGTGGGAGAAAAAAAATGTAGAACAAAATTCAAAATCATCAAAAAAGACAAGGCTTACTGACTAACTGGTCTGATAGAGACTGGTGAAATCCCCAAGATTCCCCTCAGACATCCTTCAAGCCTGGAACGGAACCCATCCCTGGGAATAAACTTTCAGCCAATTCTGTAAAGTGAACAATAACACCAGGGAGGAGTGTACTTCTCAGAACAATCAATCACCCAAGACCAAAAGGGCAGCATTTGCCCATAACAAAGCTCAGATGGCAGGAAAGGACAAGAAAGAAGGACTAATGGAAATGGGGAACTCAAGGAGGAAGTGGAACAAGTGCTGTTACATAGAGGGGATTTGAAACAACATCACAAAACAAAATGTATATGAGTTGTTTAATGGAAAATTAATTTGCTCTGCAAATTTTTACCCAAATGGAAAAAAAAAAACAGAGCTGAAATCGTATGAAACAAGTTTGTGTGTATTTGTTATGGAATTTAGATGCCTGGATTGTTCTGGAGGAATCTCTGGAAGGCACACCACACTGGAGCCAAATGGCTGGAGGCTGGAGTCCACCCTGGGACACCTCTGAAGAAAGGTTTGATGATCTACTTCTGAAAAACCAGCCACTGGAAACCCCATGGAGCAGTCCTCCTTTGACACACATGTGGTCTCCATGAGTTGGAATCAATCCAAAGGGAACTGGTGGTTATTTTTCAGAAAGACAATATAAACTGTTGATTGCTTTAACTGTGTTAATTGAGGTACACAGCTAAAATATTTTAAGAGGAACAATTGGAAGAATAGAATTAGAATGTGAAATAGTAAAAGGCAAAAAGAAAATGTATTAAACCCAATAAAAAGCCACTGCACAGGAAGAGGAGGATGAAAGGAGGGGGAGGATAAATAAGAAACACAGAATTAAATGATAGAAATATATTAATAATCCAAATGTCTATAAATTTACTGGTTAAAACAGAGTAACTCTTAGACTAGATTAAACACACACACACAAATTTAAAAAATCCAACAATGTGTTGTTTACAAGAGGCACTCCTAAAATTAATCACACAAAAGAACTGAAAGTAAACCACTAATCCCAGATACCCAGTATAGAAATATTAATACTAGGAAAAAATGTACTTATGTAAATAAACATTATCACAAAATTAGAGGGTAATTTTAAAATGATGAAAGGAATAATTTGTTTGGAAAATACAAAAATATTAAAACTTGAATACACCTAACCATATAGCTTCAACATATGTAAAGTAAAAATTAACATAATTACAAGTAAAAAAAAAAACTCACTGCAGTCGAGTCAGATACAAGTAGAAACTGATTGGAAGATTTCATACATCAAAGGACAGAAAAAGAATTAGAAAGGATATAGTAGATTTCAACCATACAAATTAATAAATTTTCTCTATTGGCCATGTACAAAGTTTGTATCCATTAGATATAGAGAATTCAGAGACCTTTTAAATGCACATATGTCACATGCTTCACCAAACATCAAAGAATCAGTATCATCCAGACAATATCTGAATAAAATGAAGTAAAATTAGAAATCAATAACAAAAAATTGAATACATTTGGAAATTTAAAAACACTTTTAAATAAAGTATG